AGTACCAACATTAACAGTTACACCAGCCGATGCAACAACAACACGAATTCAATCACTACGTCAAAAATTATTTTCTATGCCATTACAGTAAGTTTTTTTTTCTCTCGAAATTATTTAATTTAATATTTTTATTTTATAGAAATTTACCATCAGCAATGAAATATTCAAATGATGATGATGATGATGATGTATTTATTTCTGGTCGTTTACCAACATCAGAAACAAATGAAACATTATTACTAGATGATGATCTTGTTTAATTTCAAAATAAAAATAATTAGATCAGTTTCATATTCATATTTTATTCTTTGAAATGAATGATTAAGAAGAATTAAAGAATTGTTTAACTATACTAAAACAATAAATGAAGAGAAAATTCATATAGTTAGTTTATATTTATCTTGTTCTACTAATACATAAGTGCTTCTCCATTACCATCAGCAAATTTATTTCCTAAAATACGTGCCCAATCAACAATCCACCATACGAATGCCAATAAAGTAATAAATGTACTAACACCACGGAATTTTAATTTGATTGCTTCAGTATTTTGGCTTTCAGATCCAAAATATGTTAATGGCCATGCACTACAGCAGCCACATCCTAATAATAATTTTAATAAACCAACAATAATATAAGCAAAACTGGAACGTGAAAGATAAAACCAATCAGCACCAAATGTACCAAGAAAAAACGAAAGACAAAAAGCCGTTTTTTTTGAACGTTGTTTATAAGTACAATATTGAGTAGTGTCATTCGTATTACTAGGTGTTTTCCATCCTAGATCACATTCAGTAGTATTAATAGAATCTGTATGATTGATAGTGACTGGAAAACTTCCAAGTGGTAATTCATTTCTAGCAGCAGGCGAAGTGTTGACACAAACCACAGAAACAAATATAAATGTTAATGTAACACTAATTAAAAAGTGTATAAAATTTGCCATATTTTGTTTGTATTCAATAGATATATTTAAAAATTGAATGAAAGCAACAGAGAGGATGAGAGCAGTTATAAATACCTCAGAATGATAGATAAACATTGTTGAAAGAGAAAGAAATAAGTACGTGTTGTTATTTCTAATCTATTTCATAAAGTATTCAATAACAAAATGTCAGTTTACTTCTCAACTTTATCTATACAGTGAATGATCAATCCATCCAGATGCATGCTTATATTATAATAAAAATGTTGTCCATTTTTCTAATACGTGCTTAAATCTAAGCAATTCGAATCATATTTTTTATATATAAGATCGCTTTCTCCGAAAAAAAATAATATGAATTTTTAGCATAACTTCTACAGATTACATTCAAATTTTTCTTGTTTTTTTTCTCTTTACATTCTATTTCCCACGTCAACTATATTATATTATAAAATATTACATAAACTATCATACGGATATAATAGTGATGATTCGGAAGACAAAATAGAATCTAAATTATTAACAATCACTTCAAATAAAATCTCACAATTTAAAAGACTCTTCATAGACAAACATATAGTTACATCAGTCTTCTGCCAACAAAGTATAATCAAGTGAGTCAAAAGATCCGGAAAGGAAATACATTTAATATAACCGATACAACTGATAAAAGAATCTGATGTTTT